TTATAATATTTATGACGCATTCTATGTACGTATTATAGACGATATTATAATATAATAGGCATTATTATTTATTATCATAAACATTTTTGTCGAGCCGGTGTAGCGGTGGCACAAGCGTGTGGGCGAAACGGAAGAAGAATGATATACGAATGGAAAATGTAGTGTGCATATTGTAATGAGAAAAAAAAACGCGTTACCAATTATCATTACTATTATTATTTTTTTCTTCAGTTAAATTAATACAGATATTTATCTATTTTAATGGTGAAGGTAGCTTCGCAACAAAGCGCTTTATTGTGCCCACCGAGTATGGTTTACATCTATAATCTAGTCAGATGTTTTAATAGTAATCATGTATTGAGATAATGATTTATTTCGTTAACGATGTTTACCGTATTGGATATTGTAATTTCATAAATTGGATTTTACGACCAGGTGCTTGATCTTTAAATTTGAGATATGATTTTTTTTTTTTTACCAACACTAGACAGTAATATATGATTTATTGTCATTGTGTTCTTCTTTAAGAAATCCAAAGTGAACAAATACATAGGTACGTAGTAAATTTTTATGCTGTTTGTTTAATTTCCTAAAAAACAAATTATGTATCATAATTCGTAAGATGTTTTCGAATTATTGAATATGGCTAATAGATATTCTATCTGGTTCGAAAAAAATTCACAAGTGGAAACTGGAAATACAAAATTGCTATTCATTTTTATATTATTATAATTAGATATTGATTAATGTTATTGACTATCATCGGTAGCCATGGATAAGGGTGTGCCGACTCCATTGACAAGTTAATAAAAAGTCGGTCTACAAAATATATGTGGACCCCTAAAAAATACCAACACACACAAAGATTTTCGAACTCGTCAATAATTTACCCAATAATATTTTATCGTATTCCTAAGACAGATCTTAGAAAACTACTTTTTTAATTATTGTTTTTTTTTCCAGTAAAAAGGCTTTCAATGAGGCATAATCGAGTCCTTGGATTATTAGCACACAGTAATAAACCACACACACACAGTTTCGACAAAATTATTATATTTTAATTACAGCAATAACAATATTATGAACATTAATCGTTTGATGATTTTGATCGTGCGCAATAAAACGATATTTTGTTCTATTTAGGTATACGTCTTGCGTAATATTATAACTGCACAGCACGTGCTGTTTAATTGACTTGAATAATATCAAACAAGGAACTATAAACGTATATACATATTTACACTATTTAGGTTAACAAATTTTTTAACAATTTCTCAGAATGTTTTCACGTTTTAATTCGACCATGAATGTCGATTAAAATCCGTACAATTGTACTTAAACGAAATTTAAAAAAAAAAACGCAGATCATTGTTACGCCTGACTGGCTTGTATTGACGTAAATTAATTAAATACAATAGTGAGAGATACATCTAAGACCATGAATATCGGAAGCCCCCAAATGTCCCGCCATCGGTGCATGGTATATTTAATAATCGATACAAAACGTAATATAAAATATGATGCCGATTAAAATTGAGAAATATATCAAGCGAAGTGTTTGTGTTTTTTAACTAAACTTATTGAACATACAATTACGTAGATACCTATTTAAATCATTATTATTATTTTTTATAATATGTTTATATAATAAACCACATTTTGTCTTACAACATGTAAATTCAATTGAACTCATTAATGCGAATTATTAATTAACTTTAATAGTATAAGTGTTTAGATTCTTAGAGTCGTAAGACATTGAATAATAATTAATTTTGTACCTATAGTAATAGTAATATTTACACATTACCTACATTGTTTTATTTATATATTTACAAAACCGTATACATGGATATTATAATATAACATATATTTTTAAAGTAAATGGCAACATTAGTTTTAAATGACTCATATTTTTTTCCTTAATATAGAATGAATAAATTTGGAAAGTAAATAGTAACGCATTTTATAATATTGTGCACTACCATAGAATTGTTGATATTATAGTTTTTATCACAATTTCTATACGTGTGAAGTTTTAGACTTAAAAAGTAATCAATTTTCAATTAATCTTATTTTTCAAGATCATAAACGTGCTGTGTTAAACAGTTATGTCGATTAATTTTGTTCCATTTCGGAAAAAAAAAATTAATTGTCAAAATTTAACAAATTGTTTTTAATCGTGGTTTTTCATAATTGTTTAATACTTTAATCTTCTTTAAAACAGTCATCATTTTCATTTATACTTTACAGTTGATAAATTAATAAATTCATAAATGTCATGTCTTAACAAAGTAAAAATTATATCATTATTTGGCACTATTTACTTATTAATAACGACGCTTTTAAGCGGTTCGAAAGCAATTTCAGCCAAATCGGTTCAGTAGTTTTCTCGATTAGCGTAGTCGTAGAAAACCCTTACAATTTTATGTAGTAATATAGATTATAATAAAAAAACGTATTTTAATGCATAAAAACAATAGTTATACCATAATATGACATAAATGTAATATAAGTTAGTATTTTTTTTTCAATCTATTTTGATTACCATGTAACATTTTGAATTAAGAAACCCAATTTTTATTTTAAATATTCATATTAAGTAAGTGATATTATTGTATTTTGATCAGTAAATCATAATAATAATTGGGTACTCGGATAGGTAACGAATTTCTATACGAATGTTTTGAACGTTTTTATAAGACTCATTATAAACTGATAAAGCTTACACGACTCATGAATTCTTTGTTAATTAGTTTCGGCGGAAAACCTAACAAAAAACAAACCATCTAATTGCTTATGATGTATTACTCGAATTTTACATTTTTACAGTTTCCATTCATTTTTTTTTTCCATTACGAAACAAAATATCGAAGTGGTTTGATAAAAATTATACTTGCAAACACGAATACGTATAGAAAACCGCACAACCTCGGTCGATTTATGGCCCAATAATCCTATAGCTCAAAAACCTCATTGGATACTAGAAAATGACCTGACCTGAATATACTCGAATGAAAACCAATAGCTGACATCGTGACTCCTGCAATTTCATCTAACACGAATAATAAGTCTTATAGGGAAAATCTCAGAGTTCTACGGACGGAATACTAAAAATATATTACGATTCTACGAAGGTTAACGATAAAATATCCGTCCATTAATTTATTAAAAAGTTAACACACACATATATATATATATATATATATATATAATATGTATTATTTATGGAAAAAAGAGAATGAAAAGTCAAGGATTTTGAAGTACACGTAATGGTGACACTTTCATGAAAATCCGTTTCCTTTGAACGAATTAATTAATGGTATAATATTGCATTAAAATGAAAAAAAAACTTGAATTACATTAAAATTTATTATTTTTTTATAGAGATACATTCTGTGTATAAATATATTCTCGTGACCTTCATGTAACCAATAACTACTTGTTATCTATATAACAATATTTTTCATTATAAAATATTATATTTAAATTTTAAAACTTTATTTTTGGACTGTCTTAGAGATAAATAATATATTAATAATTAATGTCTATAAATTAAAAGCTCGGTACTTCTAAAACGTCATCAAGTCATCAGTAAAAAATATTTAATAATACATGAATACAATTTATTCTCAATAGACGCAGTGGTTTTGCACATAAATTAATAAACATTTCGAAAGCAATTTAATTAGTTTAATTATTACTAATACTACACTTGGCGTACAGCATTTATTGGAGACTGAAATAAGGCTTTATAAGAAAATTTTCAAACACAATATTATGTATCAGAAACAACTGTTATATAAGATTAAAAAATAATAACTAACTGACTTAGACAACAAAAAAGTATTTTAATTACATAGTAAACGAGTTATTTTTATTGGTACTATACGTGAGAATGGTTTTGCATCATTATTATTATAATTAATTTGTTTTTATCATGCATAAAAAAATTACTAATTCTATTAAATTATTTAAACAAAATGATAATTATAAAGGTAAACATTTGTTTTATTATAAATCATTAATGGTCTTAGAAATATTCTTAAACATAATTTGAGTTGAATATGTTATTATTTATAAGCAATATATTTTAGTATTTTTATCGAATAATTTTAAAAGTTTTTTACTATTTTGATAACATTCATATGTTTAAGAAAGGTTCATTAATTTTGTGATGAAATCATTCGTAAAATAACTTTTTAATAAGCAAATAATAAATAGGTTTTCCGTTTGTTATACTGATTTAAATTGCATATAATATTATTAGTGCCAAATCGTTGAATAATCTTGTTTTATTAATAATATTTTTATTGAAATGTAAAAGTACATTATCGATACGATTACATTAGATGATCAAGAGTGTGTAAATATTATCAATAGACCTATCTAAATGGTAATTTATTTTATTAACCTATAAATTATTAAAATGTATATGAGTTTAGTGTAATTACTTTAAAAAATTATGCGTATTTCATTTATCTACATACTTCAGTAAGTAATTATAGTTTTTTCATGATATGTGCAGGAAACTATCGGATATAATTGCAGGTATACCGAGTTTAATTTAAGTTAATTTAACCTATATACGTACGTATATGCGTGTGGTTATAATTTATTTTTTAATTAGGAAAATTATTATATTATTTAATGTTTAGTTATAAAATAATATAACAGTTCGATTACGCGATCGTTTGTTAAGTAGAAAACAGTCGATCTTGATATTCGTCACGGGTCAACGCCAATTTGGAAACTATCCCTCGTTAAAAACATATTATAAATTACGATTTGTTTTGTGTAACGCCGTAAGACTACTATAGTTTATACTTACGTTACTAATTAATTTTCAAAAAGAAAAATGTGCTCCTATTGTTAATTTCATGTCTTTAAAAATATGGCATCTTGGCAATTATTTTTCATAATATCATTAAATCCCAGAACTTTTGTGTTAGGCAAAATCAATTTATAACAAAACAATATATTTATATAGGTTTGTACGTTACCTTTCCTCTAGGCCAGTTGCATCTTCTCTCTGGACTACTTAAACACGCCATTTCTTCAGGTTCCGTGTTATAACTCCAATCGATTGAGGAACCCAAAAAATTAAGAAACATTGACGGAACTTGTGTACCGGTGGGTTCATCACCACCCGCTTCAATCAAAAGAACTTTCCACTGTGGTACCTGAAGAAGTAATGAAAAAAACTATTAAAATCACAAAAAATAAATAACTTTGCTTAAAAGAGTGTTCAAAAAGCAGTACTTATCGGAATGTTGTTTCGTACTATAAAAATGATTGAGATTACCTACAGTAAAACGCATTACAGATTTTCTTTAAATCAATCGCAAAGACGACTTTAATCTAACATTTTGATTATAAAAATAAATTTTTGTTCTAAATTGTGGTGTACAGTTTAATTTACGAATTTAATAACGGCTTGATTCATTTTGTTTTAAAATATAAATAAAATTGCATAGCTATTTTAGGCTTTTACATCACTGATAAGTAGGGCTCGGATTTTAAAACAAATACTTCTTTTTTATACATGCTATAGACATTTAATTTTTATTTATAAACTCGTTTCAAGTCATTCTGATGCCAAATAAATCGATTTATTTTTGCTTTTTTTTGTCAGTGATAAGTCATAAATTAAGAGATGGGACGACCTCAAACTTTTAAACTTTGAGAAATTTGAATTATTTTTTGAGTTAAAATTATATTAACAATGTTTGAGTTTGACAGTAGGTTTATAGATTTTTATTTATTATCAATAGTGTACACACAGCTATAATTATTAGTTATTTACTTTCATTAGGTAAAGATTAATAGATATTATTAATTATTTATTTTAAAATTGAAAATTGTAGATTTTATTAGTGAATAAGTTTTTTCTTCTCTTTTAATTTGATCTTAATTCATTGTTAATATGAACAAATCAACTTATTGCGTGATTCAAATATTTGAAACACATATTTAATAAAAAAAAAAAAATTTACATCGTTTGAATAAAATTCAAGGTTGCGTTTGAGATAGTTAAGATTTGACCGTTATTCCTGTAGGTCATCATATAATTTTAATAACAAGTAACAACATTATTGCGCATAAATTAATGATCACCTCGCTAAGTCTGCTTGCCACTACACTTCCTGCCGTTCCTCCGCCCACGACGATGAAGTCGTACTCCTTGTCCGGCAAACCCCTGCTTTCCGGCCGGCCGCACGGGTCTTCGATGTCGCACTGCGACCTGATGAACACCTCTAAAAGGCCCATGAACAACATGAACGCCGACCCGCCGCACGTGCTGGCCAACGTCGGTCCCGGTTGGGTCACTGGGCAGTTGCAACCGCTGCTCATTTCGGATGTGATCGTGGGCTGCTACACTCGTTATATATTGAATTACTTATATATCGTATTTATGCCTGAAAAAATAAATTTTGACTACGGATTAGTGTTTTATTTATGTGATAGTATGTTCGCGAGTTAGTTATAATCTCCACCGCTTTGAATCGTCGAGTTCAAAAAACGAAATGAATTTGTTGTAACAATTTATATTTCGATATTTGGGTTTCGACCATCGATTCGTGAGTTCAATATTTATCGCGAATGCGCTACGTAGTCACTTGAATACGCCTTTTCTCCATACTTTTTACGTTTAGTTAGACATAGTTTTCAACCTAATTGAATGCATACTTAATATATTTTTAACCAATTTTATTAACAGTTCTTGTCGTTGATAAAATCGTTTTTAAATTTTACTCTAAAGATAAATTACAGCTTGCACATTTACTATTACCTCTTATAATAAAATATTAGACGAATAATTGTTAGAACTAAGACGAGAAGAAATGAGACATAGACGCGTGTATAATAATTGTGTCTGCCATCGCCAGATGATAAACTGCGTAGGCGCAAGTTCTCGGATAAACTGTAATAAATAATAACGGTAGTTGGCAGGTAGTCTACACAATAATAAGTGTTTATAAAAACACTCATAAACACGCTGGTTTTACAGGACGACTAATTCACTTTTGGCGGATCTTTGGCTTTTATAGCGTCTCTATCCCGCCTATCCTAATATAAAACCGTCATAAAATAGGTGTTACGGAATTTGGTTTTTCCTTTTCAAGTTCGTCTGCGAAAAACCCAACAGGTAACAACAATATAATGTACGGTGGGTCGAGTGGCATACTGAATAATGTTAAGGTGCGGTATAAAACACGATGGGTGCAATCATCGCACGATGTTTTTCAAAACGGTTTTTTTTTTTCATATCTATAAACAAATATTATTTATTTATAGTCACTTGTTGCGTCTTTATAACGCACCGAGACCACAACGTGTATACAATACTATAGCCTATAATGCGTAATTACTATTTTTTTGTCTTAAAATTAATAGTTTCGAATAATTCGTACGTGATGTGATGTTCAGCACAATAAATATAAATGAGCGATGTATCAAGTAGGTATAATAATATGTACCTACTATTATTTATAATAATTATTATTAATTATTATCATCGTCTGTTTTCCGGTCCGGTCAAGGTTACGAACAAAACTCGCGAGTGCTGCGAGTGCTTATATTAGAATTATGACTCAATCGGCAAAAACCCTTCTAATATTTATTACCGATTTAGTGATTTCAATCGCGTTGCAAATACGCGCGTGATCCGTGGTGAACGAACCGCAAGCTCGCCACAAAACCACGCGAATGTGTGTAGTCATAATAATATTATTATATACACATATTATTTAACTACCACATGGCGAATATTATAATACTAGCATACGTATTGTATACGAAATCTGAAATAGTGAATGTATTACACGATATGTCAAAAATGTGAGAAAAAAAATGTGCTACTTATTATTTTATTAACATATCGACTTAAGGAATGTCGAAGTATTACTTAAAGACCATTTTCAAATTTTTTTATGTTTATATCATTTAAGGAGTATCTTATAATGGTATAAATTAAAACTTCTTTTTTCTTGTAAATTGTAAAGCACGTGATTACTGTAAAAATGCGAATGCATTTAAATTGAAATTCAAGCGAACTGATAAGTTGCGGTCAAGTTTTTAATTGTATTATTATTTTAAATTATAACATCGTGAATTCACATAATATAAATATTTATTTTAATAATCATTAATCATTATAATAGTACAGATTTATAAGTTCTAAAATGCTATTACACTTAAGTATAATCAGTGGCGCAATTAAGGAGGGGAGTGAAAAAGGGCCTTTAGCACTCTTCTCATATTTTTATACCTAACTATTATTGTTTTAGTGAAATACCATGGCTCTGTCAAGCATTAATAGTCTTAGTACTCCACGTTTTAGAGATTTTGTAGTGCTTATGAGTATAATACTATGATCGTTTTATAAGCATCATAACCCGTATGTATTTTAAGCCTATTATCATACAACTACCCTTAGTTTATTACTTAAAATAGAAAATACTCCTTCAAGTTAATAAATATTAGAATAATTGTTAGTAAAATGATATTTTTACATAATCATTTACAGTAAAAAAAAAAGTTGGTTATTATTTGAAATAAGAAATTTGTTTCACTGTAGAACATTTTGTTAAATAGCATAAAATATGAAATTTAAAATAAAAAATCACAATTCAAATAAGTAAATGATTTATCGAAAAAATGTAAGACAATTTTAATGAAAAACTATTCATGATTATTTTTTGAGTAAAATTTAACAACAAATATCATATTACATATTATGTACGTCATATACAAACATATAATTTGAAGCTATCAATTTTATCGTGTTGCATCTGGAACTCAAAATTCCGAAATCGCTACAGAATAAAATGCTTATAAACAGTTAGAAACAATTTGTAACTGACGTAATTATTTCAATATTATGCTTAAAACATTTTCAACCTTATCAAATCTAGCTTCGGTTCAACAAGTGTAGAAGTACTCTAAATCTTAAAAAATAGTTTGTTTTTTAAGTTTTGTAATATAAATGTTGTAACCACAATGTCGGGGTTTCTTAAACCATTTGTATTTTTTTTCATGACAATAGTGCGTTCTTTTTTTAATTTAGGTACATATGTAGATTTAATACGCAGAATTTGTGCTTGTATTCTTATCTCAAAAATAATCGCCAAGTACGGTTATTATTACATTTTTACCGCACACTTTCCCTAGAAGGGCGTCTGAGCGTATAGATGCGTCTTATACGACGATAAAATATAATATAATAATATTATAAATTCCAAAGTATTATGCGAACAACGAATTTATAATAATATGTTTACTAACCGTATGATAGGAAATCGTAATAATATTATTATTATTTATTCGGTTCTAGCAACCGTTTTCGGAGCGAAACACAAACTGCAGTCGTTCTGGTTGGCAAAACCTTTTCACTTAACTGTAACCGTATAATATTATTATTAATATTGTATAACAATATTTTTCAAACGATAGATATAAAGAATGATTCACCATTTATGCTCATCTCCATTTATTATTTTAATAAAAATTTATTCAAATAAGGAATTTCGTTTAAACTTTATTTTTAAAATAAATTACTTCCTAGTACTGTAAATTTTTTAATGAAACATTTTTCTAAAAATGTCGATGTACTTAATTAATTTGCAAATATGTAATTTGATTAATTTAATGATATATATATATATATATATATATATATATATATATATTGGTAGATAAGTATGATTTACTAAAATCAACTTTAAACTACTATTGTCTTTATATATAATATATATCGAATATTCCTCCAATCCATATAACCATGAGCCTTTATCTTTAGTAAATACAATTAAATAACTCAAAAACTACTCGTTTGAATTTTGATTTTATTAAAATTTTCATAAAAATTATTTGCTTAATATTTTATATTATTAAATAAGTGTAATTTTCAGTTGAAAAAAATATAAAATTGGTATCTCTGCATAATACTTATCAAGTACAAAACATCTCAAGAATTTGATAACAGTCGTTTACCTAATTGTGTGAACATAAATCCAGCTTATCTTAGCTGAAAAAACCGTTAATTTTATTCATTAAGCGCATTGGTATATATATTTTAATATAATTAAACGGTGATCACTGCTTAATGTGATCCTTGGTTAAAAATTAATTATTTATTGGAATTAAAAATACAAAATTAATCAAATAATACATTTCTGATCACATTTTGTAATGGAATCAATGTGTGCCAAGAAATTGAACCAACTTTTTAGCTTTACGGGGCTTTGAATAATCAAAATCAGAACTCGGAGTTGAAAATAAATTTATTATAATGCACCAACACAGTTGTAGAAATTTACATAGAAAATGAATTACCTATGCATCGCTTATGTAGGTACGTACATAATATTACATTAGTAGTTATTTCTATTAGTATTTCTATTAGTATTTTGATTGTATTTATTTTTCCAATTATATTTATGAATATATTATAATATATTAAATTTACAAATATAATGATAAAGGAAATTAAAAAAATTGTTTTAATAAATATACTGGTAAATATAATTAAAATAATAAGTATAAATTTAATTTAATATAATATTATAACTCATTAATTATTTATAAAAATCTCGAAAACTTGTCAATGATTTAATGCATGCAATTGAATTATTAAACAATTTCACATTATAGTCATGATTTGTTTAGCGTTCGACCGAATTCCAATACTGATTCTTCGGCCAAGTTTTCGAGAGTTTTATATAACCTAAATAATTTAACAATACAACCTATAAGGCACGAATAGATGAATATTATATTTTTACAGATTTTTCGTAAGTGTATAATATTTTAAATAGCGATTATAAGTTTTTACACACCTATCATTATCTTCAGTAAGCTCTACAAAATCATCGAGACGATTAAAATTGGTCAACAGTGATCCCTGGGCGTTGTTAAAATCTGATTAATGTTTTGCAGACGCCCCAAAATAAATCCAATTCTTCAGAGCTATGAAATAATATATAAATATATATATCGTATATTTGTTGTAACGCATTATTTACATTGATAGATTTGACGTGTTGACACCATAACTTATTGTAAACAAAAATTCAAAACTGCTCGTCCTCAATAATAGTTATTGAATCAATTTTTCTATTTTTGCCCGTAAATCTTGAAATATCAGAAATCGTTGTCCTTGATACGTTCTTAGCATCCCACAACCGACTATTTATTATCGATTTGTAAACAGTCAGACGTAAACGACCACGGTTGAGTGATTACTAACTACGTTGTTACTCATCTGAAACCCTTAAACTACATAATATGTGTGCCCATCTTAACTTTGAAATGTTGGGCGAAGGTAAAAATACGTTTTAAGTGAAGTTGGTTGTTAAAAAAAAAAATCGTTGTATATTGATATTTTATGTTAATTGATACACCGATAATATTAATT